TGGCAGGATGGAGGGGTGCAGCCCAAGCCTGAGCAGCAGGAGGAAAGCCTGGCACGAAGAAGAGGGAGGTGGTGAGGTTGGGTCTGCCCTGTGCTGTGGCCTCTCCATCTCCCACTGATGCTGTAGGGCATCTTAACTTGCTGGGCGTGCTAGGAAGCACTAACGATGGTGCTTGTTGGTCCCTCTCCATCCCCCGAGGAGCAGCCTGAGCTGACTGGGCGATGGGGAACGTCCAGCCCTGGCATCAGAGTGACTGAGCTGCACCAGGGTTACCAAAGCAGCCCCCAAAACACAACATAGGGTGCGCAGTGGCTTCCATCCCCCCAAGATGACTGCATTTTCCCCAGTGGGTGGGTGCTACTCACGTGGTGCTTCCAGCGTCCAGGGGAACCTGCTGGAAGTCTCCTGCAGCATCCCCTGTCCAACATCTGTGTTTGGTGGAGTCAGTCCAGAGCTGTGAAAGCATGCAAAAAGGGGCAGCTCTCCTTCCTTGGCCTGGGAGAAATTCCTTTTAGCTGGTTTTCCTCTGCAGAGCAGTGTTGATGTGCTGGGCAGTGCTGGGGAGGTGGTGGGAGCTGTGGCGTTGGTGACAGTCGGTTTTACCTGGTCCGGTGTGTGCTCGAAGCTGGTTCCTGATTGTGAGCCATCCACGAGAAAACTGGCAAACTCATCTCCCAGGTTTAAAAGGTTCTGTGGTAAAAATAGGTGGAGTTGTAGGAGATGAGAGATGCCAGGCTGGAAATGGGGGTGATGCTAAGATGCACCGGGGAGGGGAGCATGTGGTCCTAGAAGAGGAGCAGGCTGCGGCAGAGCATGGAAACATCCACCTACACAGTTGGAGAAGATTGTAGGAAAGTCAGGGAGGTGCCATCACACGGTGGGACGATGTGCAAGCTTGTCGAGGGGACTGCCAAGCACCTGAGGCACGTTTGTGGGTTACGTCAGCATGGATGGGGGAAGATGGACAACAGAAAACTGGAGCCAGTTGGGCTGCTGAGGAAAAAAGTCAGGCTGGTATGGGGGGCTGCACCCTGCCCTGGCATCTTCTCCATCAGCATCAGCTGCCCCTTCCTCGGCGAGGGGGCACAGCAGCATGGGCAGCCCCTGAACACCGTGGTGGCACAAGCAGTGATGGTGTGGCAGAAGCCACTGTCTCCACATTGTCACGATCTGTTGTGAGACCGCCGCTGGTGCACCCAGCCTCGGTTCGCTGGTTGCTGCTGCTGGGCTCGGCGCCGCTCCCCTGCCCAGGCCAGGCCACCGGTGCTGTGCAGAGCAGAACCCGGTGAGACACGAGGCTTTTGTCCTGGCACCCATGGCCCTTGGCAGTGACGCAGTGAGCACCAGCGCTCCCCTCCAGTGCTGCCTGCAGCTCGAGCTGCGTTCCATGCCCTGCCCTTTGCATTGCCAGCGATCACATCTCTCCGCTCATCGTGCGCCAGAACACCCTCCTGACACCCTCCTGTTCCCCCCAGAGACTTGAAAGCGCTGCTGAAGTTTCATCCATCGGGTGAAAACCTTCCACATTAAAACCTTGCTCCGTTCTTCTGATCTCCAAAACGCTGTAATGGGGGTCCTCCCCCTGTCTCCCACTGCTGAACATGCACTGAGTGCTCCCCACCGCAACAGCCGCCATCCCTGCCTGGCACCCCGGCTCTGCTCCTCGGCATTTCAGGACGAAACACCCTCGTTACCAGTGCCTTTTGGGTATGGCGGTGCTGCCCAGTGTTGGATGCCTCTGGGGTGCCCGCTGGGTTGAGCACAGCAGGGGTGGAAGGGAGGACAGGCAGATTTCAGCAGCGGGGAGCGGCGCCAGCGTCGGGTGTCTTACGCAGAGGAAAGCTGCTCTTTTCCCAGTTTTGGGGTGGCTCATCAGTGCAGTCCGGTGGCACTCGCTCTCAGGACTCTGGGAATTAGCTTGAACGAAGCTCTGGGAGGAAAACTGGGCGTAGGCTGAGGAGCAAGGGGAAGGGAGCCGGGCATCGCTTCCTTCCCCTAAATTCCTTATTCTGACTTTTAAGTCAGTTTTGTAGCTCTTGCTGGAGGGTTTTGCATAGCAGGTGGGTGGGTGCATTCTCCATGTGGGAGCTGACCCTTCGGGACGTCCCCTGTGGGCGTCCTCCCTTCCTGGGCCGAGCGCCCCAGCATCCTCCTGGGCATGAGCAGAGGCGGGGGCCCGGGCGCCATCCGCAAAAGGAAAATGACCAAGTTGGTTTAAAAAAAAATAAAATGGAATGAAAATGGGAAAAAAAAAAAAGGAATAAAAATGTAATATTCCATGGAAGCTCTGTCAATGGCTGAAGGTTGGAAGTTTGGCTGTGGTGAAATCTGTGCGGCTGTTAGTGGCTGGAGACACAAGGTGGATGTGTTTTAAATTTGTTGCTGCTTGAAACTCTCACTGGTTGCAAACTGTTGAGGAAGTTTTTAACAATTAATTTATATCAGTAAAAAACAGAAGCAAAATAGGTTGCCAGGACAACTTTACCTTTCTGCAACTTTCTTTTTTTACTATAGCGTGCATGAAGATCTATAGTATAGATCTTCATGTGGTGGCCATAGTATTGGGTCGATCCTATTTTTATTTATTTATTTGTTGTATTGAATTGATTTTACTCTGTTTCAAGTAAATGTTAAAAGCTCTGAAGGCACAGGATTTTTATGATCTTATCACCCCCACAGCTCTGATCGGGCCTGTCTGACGCCTTTGAAATAACACGGTACAGCGCGTGCAGCCCTTTGCGGCTGAGAATTAGTGGTGGCAGAAAGTGCTCGCTGTTCTCCTACCTTATTAACTTGTGTGCAGTGCCTGTACTGCACCGAGTACCTATTAATGGGAAATTTTAAAAAGTGAAGGGAATTATTAGGAGCATAGGAAAAAAAACCCTTCCTTTAAGGGAGCTAGAAGAGAGGTGGCTGTTTGCCTCGGAGCAGATGACAACTAAGAGACAACATGACAAAACTGTGCATGTTTTTGAACGCTCCAGAAAAGGTAGATCAGAGACTTCTTTCTTCCTTTTGCAAGAAAAAAAAGGAGACAGTCAACAAAATTAAAGGCAGCAAATTAAAAGCCAATAAAAGGCAGGGTTTTTTCTTGCATGATAGGCATGTTGGAGCATGTCGCCAAGAGTTGGGTGCTCAAGTGGGGCTCCAAAGGGACTCAGCTGGACAGTGGCATCAGGAGGTTGTAGTGAGGTGGGTGTTGGTCTCTGCTCCCAGGGAATGGGCGATGGGACAAGGGGAAACGGCCTCAAGTTGTACCAGGGCAGGTTTAGGTTGGACATTGGGAAAAATTCCTTCCTCAAAAGGGCTGTCAGGCACTGGAAGGGGCTACCTGGGGAAGGGGTTGAGTCCCCATCCCTGGGGGTATTTAAAAGCCAGACAGACAAGGTGCTTAGGGCCAGGGTTTAGTGGTGGGTTAGGAGAATGGTTGGGCTTGATGATCTTAAAGGGCTTTTCCAACCTAAATGATTCCATAATTCTATGAGGTGACATGGGCTCTTGGGGATGAGCCACGTTGCCTGGGGATCAGTTACCTTGCTGCCGTCTACTGGAAAGATCCTTGAAGCTTCTTCTGAAGGCCCTTCTGCACATGGTGGAGCAGATTGGGCACCAGTCGCTGGTGTGAGGCTGCGTGATGGGCTTTGGAGGGCTTGGAGGGACCAGAGGGCAGCGTGGGAACAGTGCTGGGAGCTGCTGACCTCAGGGGAATTGTTGGGAGTCTCCATAACGCTATTGTAAAACTAACTACTTACCAATAA